AGAAGAACAGTATAATGTGCCTTTTACACTTCAAGAACTGGAGGCAACACTCTCAGCTTGCCGATCATCGGCAGCTGGGCCCGACAACATTCATATTCGTATGCTACGACATTTACATCAGTCAGCCCTTGCAGTCCTATTACGCCTTTTCAATCTCATTTGGTCACAAGGAGTTCTTCCACAGCCCTGGAAATCTGCCATTGTTCTCCCTTTCCACAAGCCGGGTACTACAGGACATGAAGCCTCCCACTATCGTCCCATCGCTCTTACCAGTGCAGTTTGCAAAGTGATGGAACGCCTGGTAAATAGATGTTTAGTGTGGTATTTAGAGACACACAACAGTCTCTCCACTCGTCAATATGGATTTCGTAAGGGACGTTCTACCATAGACCCCTTACTACGCTTGGATACGTATGTTCGTATTGCCTTTGCGAATAACCACTCAGTTATTGCCATATTCTTTGACCTTGAGAAGGCATATGACACAACTTGGAGGTATAACATTTTGACCCAAGCCTACTCCTTAGGCCTCCGAGGCAATCTACCATCCTTCCTTAAGAACTTTTTAACTGACAGACAGTTCCATGTTCGGGTTAATAATGTGCTCTCCCCAGACTTTATCCAAGCTGAAGGTGTCCCCCAGGGATGTGTTCTGAGCACAACACTTTTTCTCCTTGCTATAAATGATTTGGCCTCTAGTCTTCCATCAAATATTTGGTCATCACTCTATGTTGATGACTTCGCTATTACTATTGCCTGTGCAGGCACTGACTGTCACCTCATTACAGTTTCTCTCCAGCATGCGGTCGACCGTGTTTCCAATTGGGCCACCACACATGGGTTTAAATTTTCCAGTACCAAAACGCACCAAATTACTTTCACTAGACGCTCTGTCATCTCCGATCATCCTTTGTACCTCTATGGCTCCCGTATCCCTGAACGTGATACAGTAAGGTTTCTGGGCCTCCTCTTTGACCGTAGGTTATCCTGGAAACCTCATATTACCTCTCTGAAGGCAACTTGTCACAGCCGTCTGAACCTTCTTAAAACCCTTGCTCATCTTTCATGGGGAGCTGATTGTCGAACTCTCCTTTGCCTACATTCCACCCTCATTTTATCGAAACTTGATTATGGTGATCATTATTATTATAATCAAAAAGAAGCGCTAAGCCACAAGGGCTATACAGCATTATGGTGACCAGATCTATTCAGCGGCCTCTCCTACTACTCTCTCTAGCCTTAACCCCATTCATCACCAAGGATTACGTTTATGCCTTGGTGCTTTTCGCTCTTACCCTGTTGAGAGCCTCTATGCAGAAGCGAACGTTCCATCCTTATCCGATCGCCGTGATGCCCATTGCCTTCGCTACTATGTACACTCTCATGATCTCCGCAATCCTTCCATTTATAGAATGGTCACTGATATTAGTAGACATTCTTTATTTGTTCTCCGTCCCTGTTTACTCTGTCCCTTCTCTCTTCGCCTACATTCGCTCTTGTCTTCTCTTCAATTACCACCTTTCTATGTTCATGTAGCATCTCACTTTTCCCTACCCCCCTGGGAAGTTCCAGCTGTTCGAGTCTGTTCTTTCTCTCTCCCTTGCTCGAAAGCCCAACTGTCTACGGTCACTTCCCGCTCTCTTTTTCTCGACCACTTCCACTCTCATTCTCATGCCATTGCAGTGTACATAGATGGCTCTAAGTCTTCTGGCGGCGTAGGATTCGCAGCAGTGTTACCGGACAGCGTCGTACGAGGGCATTTACTATCTTCGGCTAGTATTTTGACTGCTGAATTGTATGCCATTCTTGCAGCACTTATCCGTATTGCATCTATACCTGTGTCGTCATTTGTGGTTGTCTCAGACTCCCTTAGTGCTTTACAGGCTATACAGAAATTTGACACACCTCACCCCTTAGTCCTTTGTATCCAACTTTGACTACGACGCATCTTTACCAAGCATAAAGATATTGTTTTTTGTTGGGTCCCTGGTCATGTTGACGTACAGGGCAATGAACAGGCAGACACTGCTGCGCGGTCAGCAGTACATGACCTACCAGTTTCATATAGAGGTATTCCATTTACGGACTATTTTGCTGCAATAGCTACCCACCTTCACACCTGTTGGCAACAACATTGGTCTACTATGTTCGGTAACAAACTTCAATCTATTAAACCGAGTATAGGTTACTGGCCGTCTTCTTGTCACCAGTGTTGAGGTCGGGAGACTACTCTCTCCCGTCTTCGCATCGGCCATACTCGTCTTACTCATGGATATCTCATGGAGAGGCGCCCTGCTCCTCTCTGTGAGAATTGTCAGGTTCCATTATCAGTCAGCCACATTCTGTTAGACTGCCCACTTTATCAACGAGCACGCAGAATTTACCTCCGTCGTCGTCTTCGCTCCGCTGCTCTCTCTTTACCTTCCCTTCTCGCTGATGGACCCACCTTTCATCCGGACTCTCTCTCTGACTTTTTGACAACAACTGACTTACTTCACAAACTCTGATAACTTCAGCCCTTTCTACCTCAATCTCTTGCTACCCTCTACCCCCGCACTATCCCCTGCTCCGCTGTTTTCTGTAACCTACTGATCATCCCTCCCCCCTTCTGCCGCCCAATACCCTCGCTTCCTTCCCTACCCTGCAGCGCTGTATAGCCCTTGTGGCTTAGCGCTTCTTTTTGATTATAATAATAATGTGCAAACAGGGGAAATTAATTATAACCACCAAGCAAAGAAGAAAACCTTTTTATTAGTGCTGCACACTAACAGCACCTTTCAAGGCAGGTGAAATTGCCGACCTAGAAAATGTACAGAGAACTTTCACGGCGCGCATAACGGAGATAAAACACCTCAATTATTGGGAGCGCTTGAGGTTCCTAAACCTGTATTCCCTGGAACGCAGGAGGGAGAGATACATGATTATATACACCTGGAAAATCCTAGAGGGACTAGTACCGAACTTGCACACGAAAATCACTCACTACGAAAGCAAAAGACTTGGCAGACGATGCACCATCCCCCCAATGAAAAGAAGGGGTGTCACTAGCACGTTAAGAGACCATACAATAAGTGTCAGGGGCCCGAGACTGTTCAACTGCCACCCAGCACACATAAGGGGGATTACCAACAGACCCCTGGCAGTCTTCAAGCTGGCACTGGACAAGCACCTAAAGTCAGTTCCGGATCAGCCGGGCTGTGGCTCGTACGTTGGTTTGCGTGCAGCCAGCAGCAACAGCCTGGTTGATCAGGCTCTGATCCACCAGGAGGCCTGGTCTCAGACCGGGCCGCGGGGGCGTTGACCCCCGGAACTCTCTCCAGGTAAACTCCAGGAAGGTTGGAAGTGAATATTAATAGAGTGGAACCCCGGATTTCGGCCGTAATCCGTTCCAGAAGGTCGGCCTAAATCCGAAAAGGCTGAAAACCGAAGTAGTATTTCCCAAAAGAAGTAATGTAAATGCAATTAATCCATTCCAGACACTCAAAAATATTAACAAAAAATACATTTTTTAAAGATTAACTATAGTTTTACATACACAAAACAATGAGAACTAAATAAAATTATTAATGAAATGGATAAATGAACATTTAACATCACTTTTATCTCTATTGAAGATTCTTGCTGGCATATGGAAGACAAGGAGGAGGAGAGAGGGAGGACTGATTATTGTTTGGAAGAGGAATCCCCTCCATAAGAGCTTCAAGTATCAAGTCCCTATCTGGGATTACTTCCTTTCTTTGTCTTTTACTGGCACTAAGACCAGCTTGAGAGCTCTTCAGTGGTCAGCACTTTTGTACTTTGCTACAACTTCTTTCTTTCTATTGTGTTCCTCACTTTGTTTACCAAAGGGCTGGCACTGGGAACTTTCTTTGGGCCCATGGTGGCTTATTTTGCAGTCACACTTAATAAACAACCACAAAAAACAATGGATTATAATGAAATGTTTGGATAAATGCGCAGAGTGTTGCTCACTCAATGAGAGAGGCAGCCAGACTGATTCACGCACACAGTGTGGCGGACGGACACGTCCAATACTGCCAATTTCCGAGTTGCTGGCTGAAATCCAGGATAGAATTTCGGCCCAAAAAGCAGCCAAAATCCAATTTGGCCAATATCCGCACCAGCCAAGAGACAATACAATAAGCATCAGGCACACAAAATTGTTCAACTGCCTCCCAGCATACATAAGGGGGATTACCAACAGATCCCAGGATGTCTTCAAGAGGGAGCTAGACAGACACCTGAACTCAGTATCTGACCAGCAGGGCTGGGGTTCGTACATCGGTCTGTGTACATAGATCAGCAGTAACAACCTGGTTGATCAGGCCCTGATCCACCACAAGGCCCAGTCATGGACCAGGCTGTGGGGGCACTGACCCTCGGAATACCCTCAAGGTAAACCCACAATGATAATAACAATACATAATACATTTACTTCCACAAAGTACTTTGTTACAAAACTGGATAACATTTATTAGTGCATATGGACTAATAGAGTAGTACATGGAATTTAAAGATTCAAAGGTTAGTAAATAAGTTTATTTAGGTACAAGTGTACATGAGTACAATTATTATACTTGTAACATATGGATAACCTAAAAAGTCGAAGTGACTTATTTCTATTGGTGTCCTTGATTACTTCCATTGGGGTCTTTGGTTATTTCCATTGGGATCCTTGATTACTTACATTGGGGACCCTTCATTATTTCCATTGGGTCCTCGATTATTTTCATTGGGGACCTTGTTATTTCTATTGAGGCGCTTATTTCCACTGGGGTCCTTGTTATGTGTAGCAGTTTGATCATTTTATTCCAATATCATGCTCTACATAACTAGAGTGTAATATTGACCTAGGATCCTTTAATTTTATATACTTCATAGTGTGTGCACAATGAAACTAAAGTCAATATTGTACTCAATGTCGTCAGTCATTTATCAGTGTCAGTGGTATTTCCCTACAGGTGTTCTACAGTTTCAACACGATACACCACTCTCCTTACCTGTACCTATATCCAGGGTAAAGTATTGACTGCTGCAATACTAAGTTAACAGAAAATTTATCTACCACGACTACAGTCTTGTTCTTGTTGTTGGGGTTATTCAGGGCCACCAAAGATAACGTTTTATTAAGTCTTGTCGCCCGGGAGTTTATTTTATTTATTTATTTATTTATAAATTTTAGCATACATACAGAGGTACAAAAAAATACAGGTAAGAGCAGCATGCCAAAGCCACTTATATGCATAGCATTACGGCCTGGCTTAAAATTAACTTAAGATTAACTAAGCAATGATGAAATCAGTGATAAGACATTATTGTAAACAGATAACTATAAAGCACAAATGAGTATTACAAAGACAGGTCATATGGTTGCATGCATTGCTGTTCATTCAGGTAGTGTAATTTTAAAAAAAAAAGTACAAGTTATTAACATTTTGTGTGATATAAAATTGTGAGTAACATTTATGATATACAAAATTATATGGTTCAGTTATTCATTATTTATTTGGTTTTGAGTGATATGAACTTTGAGAAGAGACTTGAATTTAATAAACAGGTAGTGTTTCTTGTATATTTACAGGTAATGAATTCCATATTTTTAGGGGCCTTTATGTGCATTGAGTTTTTGCATAGCGTGAGAATGGACACGAGGGAACATCAAAGAGTGATCTTTTCCTTGTATATTATGGTCATGTGTGTCTGTTATGTTGGCAAGGAGATGTTTGAGGGGAGGGTTTTAATATCAAGTTAAGTGTTCTATGTATGTAATAAGTGCAATAATAAGTATGGATTTTTTGTATGGTTAGTAGTTTGAGTTTTTTGACTATTGGTGGAGTGTGCTGCCTGTAGGAGAATTTGTTATCATTCTAACTGCAGCCTTTTGTTGTGTCTATTATTGGTCTGATATGGTTAGTTTTTTTTGTTGAGGCACCCATGCACAAATTCCTTAGGTGAGATAGGGTAAAATAAGAGAGTGATAAAGGGCCAGAGGGCTGACTGTGGAAATGGGAAGACATAGTAACGTATCTTCGATAGTATGCCCTACATCCTTGGAATTTTCTTTAGAAATTTGTTGTATATGTGTAGAATTTGAGTCTATTATATCGTGGGAGTGGATTCCTAAGAATTTTCCTCTGTTTGCTTTGTGATAGTGATCCGTTTATCGTTATGTTAATAGGTACAACTGTAGCTCTGCACCAAACGGAATGAAGTAGGTTTTGTCAATGTTTAATGAAGTTTGTTAGTGCCTCATCCAGGTAGATATTTTCTGTAATTCGTGTTTACAGTAATTGGCTAGGCGTGACTGGGCTCGGGTGAGAGAAGACTATGCGTGTCATCTGCAAAAAGTGTGTGGGTTTGAGTAAATTGCGAAGCATTTGGTAGGGTCATTTATGTATATGAGAAAGAGAAGAGGGCCAAGGACACTTCCCTGTGGACACCAACTTTAATTGGTTGTGCGGAAGAGCTTGCCCCATTTGCGTACACATCTTGGCTTCTGTTGCTGAGGTAAGACTTGAGGTAGTTCGGGAGTGCCCTCTAATACCATAAGTGTGACAATTTTTACGTGGAGCAAGTCATGGTCAACTGTACAAAAAGCTTTAATCTGTAAGTCAATGAAGATCCTCCCAGTGGGACTTCTTTTTTTCTCTATTGCAGTGTATATATGTTCTAAGCATGTTGGGTTATAATATCATCATTAGTATTTTTATTAGGCTGAATCCAAATTGGCAGGGGTTGAGAATGTTATGGGAGATGAGGTAGGAGTAGATTCGTTTATGAATTAATTTTTCGAAGATTTTTGAGAGGGTGTAAATTGGATATTGGCCTATAGTTATTCAACTCTGTTTGGTCTCCTCCTTTATGGATCGGGGTGACCCTTGCTATTTTAAGAACTGTAGGGAAGGTGGAGGATTCAATGGATTTGTTAAAGAGTGTTGCAATGATTGGTGATAGTACTTGTGACGCTTTTTTGTATATAAAGGGTGGTAAGGTATTTAAATCTCCTGCCTTGTTTTTCAGTGCGTTCGGGGAAAAATTGCCCTGACGATCCTGCCTAAGTAAGTAAGTAAGTTTATTCAGGTATACACAAATAAGAGAACATAGAATTATCATACATAGCAGCATATGTGTAGAGAACCTGGGATAACATAAAAAAGTCAGACAGAGAGACTTATTTCCATTGGGGTCCTTTTACCTTATTATTATAATATAAATAATTATTATAATATAAATGGGACGTGGGTGACGACCCAGGGAGGCACCCTGGGAGAAGCAGGTGTCTTCTGTCAGGCCACGATGCTAGAGTGCAACAGCAGTAAAGGTCAGCCAGGGAGCGTTCTAACAGTGTGTCTGACAGATAAGATAAGATAAGATTTCGTTCGGATTTTTAACCCCGGAGGGTTAGCCACCCAGGATAACCCAAGAAAGTCTGTTTCGTCAATCGAGGACTGTCTAACTTATTTCCATTGGGGTCCTTAATCTTGTCCCCCAGGATGCGACCCACACCAGTCGACTAACACCCAGGTACCTATTTGCTGCTAGGTGAACAGGACAATAGGTGCAAAGGAAACTTGTCGGAATTTCCACACGCCGGAATCGAACCCCCGGGCCCTCCCGTTTTTGTGAAGCGGGAAGCTTTAGCCACCAGACCACCTGGCCACCCTAAGGAACCAGCCGGGCCAACCCTGACTGCCTGTAGAACTTCCCGAAGGTGCTGCTAACACAGGCTGCTGGCCTTGTGGCCTGGTAGGCAAAGCATTCGCTTCAAAGCTGAGTGTTTCGAGTTCGATTCCCGGCAAGGGTAGAAACATTGGGCGTGTTTCCTTACACCTGTTGTCCCGTTCACCTAGCAAGCGAATAGGTACCTGGGTGTTAGTCTTCTTCTTCTTCTTCTTCTGTTGGGTTTCAGGGCCACTGACAGCATACGCCGTATCGAGCCTGTCCGTTCAGTGCTAGGAGAAGGAGTATCGACCAAAGTGGAAGAATGTCTTGACTAATAACTATGTATCATATGTCTCTGATACGCCCTGAAGCCAGCAGGAAGGAGCAGGTACAGGCCAATATCTCCTGAAAGTCCAGAGGGCGAAACCCCTCCCAGTGTAGTCAAAGATAAGATAAAACCAATATTGCAAACCAGAAATACCGCAGGAAATAGCAAACAAGAGGACTCCAATAGCAATAGGTTATGATAAATTACCAAAAACAACTGGTGGGAGCTCCATTGTTGGTGCTAAGGAGGATAGGAATAAGACAGGGAAACATGCACCAACAGGGAATACAGTCACAGAAACCCAAGGCAAACGGAAACCAAGCCTGTCACATACAATGCACTTGGTATCTGCTGGCATGGGAAATCTGGAAAAACAGATGGGACATGCAACTATGACCACCCTGAGAAAATGTCATGCCCATATACAACAGGAAAATGCGAAACTCCCTATCCTGTAAGCTTTTTTCACCCTGATGTTTACGCTCTTCAGATACAGAAAGACTGAGCTATAACTTAAATTGTGCCAGGCATACCATCTAAAGGGGAAAAAAAGATACAGAAACATCCAGGCCATGGGAAAACCTGGGTAGCCGCAGCCCTCAAGAGGGAAAGGTTTTATAAAGTGCCAGAAGGAAAAAAAACTGGCAGAAAAGTGGCAGAAATCGTACACCAAATCCTAGTCATTCCTGGAGTGGAACCAAAGTCGATGCCTCCACTCCAAACCAACAGATACAGATACTAATGCCGGAAAAAAAATCCCCCCCCAGAAGTACCAACAAGTACCAACCAGTCCGATAACATTCACTTTGCAAATATACAGGTCTAAAGCCAGCAATAAACAACAAAATAAACCTTTCATCCGTGGACGTGCTTGCAGAGGCAAAGGCAATGTTCTGCTGGCTTTCACTGAGACCCACATAAAGGATCACTTGGACAACGAAATATGGATCCAGGTTACAACCTATCAAAGTGACAGAGTGAACATGCAAAAGGGGTGGTTGGCCTGTACAATGCAAGAGTCACTTGTTTGCACAGAACTGCTAATGGCCTCAAAATGACGTAGTGAAGTTTAGTCAGTAAAGGGTCGAGAACCAAAACCTAGTCAATGTGGTAGTCTACGATGCCTCCGGATGCAAATCATCCCATCAATTTCCAGGAACAGCTGTTAAAATTGACCAACTGCTGGAAAATCTTCCTGCTCCTTCACCCCAACAACCTTGCTCCTGGGGATTTCAACTTAAGCACCTAAATTGGAGGAAATATTGAAATAAAATTGTTGCAGTAATAACACCATGGAGGCGCTCTGATGAAAAATCACACTCACACGATGCTTTTTAAATCTCTGGCACAAAATTCAATTTAAAACCAGCAAATAATAGATGCACTACTAGACTGGGAATACACTAGAACCTCATCTTCACTAACAAAGAATGTCTGATAAGAAATGTCACCATATTCAAAAACAATATACTCAGATCACAAACATAATTGAGGAGTTCCGACAAGTATGCTGTAAGCCCAGTAACCGACAAAATGTATACTAGTCACGAGGGAGCAATTCACCAAATTCAACTTCAATAACAAAAACATAAAGATGGGACCAAGTAAACCAAGTGCCTAACCGATTATAGCTGTTGAAGATATACTAAGCCTCAACACAGATCCCAAACTTATGCCTAGTAACAGATTAACACGGTCATCTCGATGTGATGCACAAGGCTTATTCCCTAAGAAAAAGTAGGAGTAGATGTTAAAATAGAAAGAGACAAAGGGCGCTGCCTCCCTTACAGGCGACTGAAAAAGAATAAACAAGCGGCTAAAATAGGTCACTATATAGAAATGCGCAGGGAGACACTGGTCAGAGAATAGCAAGCATCGAACTTAAGCTAAAAGACTCCTTTAGGAGTCAGGAACGCGGGAAGAAACTAAAAGCCTAAATGAAAATCGAAAGAACCCCAAAGTAATTCTTCTCCTATGCCAAACAAAATCGAGAAAACGTCCAGTATTGGGCCCACCTACTTAAACAAGATGGGTCCTACACATATGACAGCAAGGAATGAATGAGCACTACTCAATCCCAATATGACTCAGTTTTTAGCAAGCCGCGTAACCAGACTGAGAGTC